CTCAAGTCGGAAACAATAGTGCTTGCTCTCAAATAGAATACATAAAAAAAAAAAAAAAAATTCCCGTTTAAATTTTCTGTGAATATACTTAAAATGAATAAATAAATATCGCAGAAAATGTTGGTAAGGAATTTTGGTTTCATTGAAGAAGCAAATAAAAAACAAAACACGAGTGGAAGGTGTGCAACTTTTCAATCGGAGATAAATAGGGTTTTTTGAGCATAGCCATCGATAATTCACATTCTTCATGTAAGGCGTTAGTGAGATAACTATTTGACCACGGGTGATGGCCATATTGCCGCTAGCTGGAATTGAAGGCGCGTCACACTGCGACGACTACAAGACCACGCTGCGCTAATTGGCGCGGCGCTGATAACGCCGCTCAACTAGGATCATGCGTCCTAATTTTCGACTCGCGATTTCTTCCCGTTTTCATCATAATTTCGGGAGAATCATGTATCTCAACTGCATCGCTTCAGCATCGCGCACCATGCTTCATCTTTTGTTGTTTGAAAAAAGACGAAGTTACAAAAATATCGCCTCGATATTGTCTGTGAGTACAGTTGAAATGATTCAGGCAGATTCGCAGAAAATTTGAGCAATAATTATATCGCACTAAGCAAAAAGGAACCAGCGCGATTACAGCGTTGTAAAAAATGTTGCTTCTTCATGCTTATCTAAAAATCTCCCAGAATGGCAAATAGATTTGACTTCCGGCCAAAAATTTAATATTCTTTTTATAAAATTTGAAACATCATGGTACAACTTACTTCGCACCAGATCAGCTACAGAAAAGAAAAAACAAAAAGAATAATCCGTACGAGGTGGAAAAAAAGAGAGGGAAAAATGAAACAAAGAAGCTGCAATAAAAAATAATGTATTTTCTTCGGAAAATACACTAAAATGATGACGTATGTGTTCTCTTTCCCGGAATAATACACCCATCGATGTTTATATCCAGTTAACTAGCAAGAGAAATCGATCACAGTTGACTAGCTTGTGCAAGTCACATTATGATGATGTTGCTATGAGAAACTCGGAAAGCGGTCCGTTTCTCATCAAGGTGCAACAGCTTGAATTGAAATGCATTAGAGCCAAAATAATCTAAGATCCGCTGTTTCGAAAACTGCGGGCTTAATCGGATTCGGAGGAGCTTTTAAAGTACTCATGCGGAAGAAGAGGAAACAAAAGAGAGATAAGAGAAATGACATCTTCGCAAAAAATAAGGACGAGAGACACATCGAAGATTCTATTCATACGTTAAATGATAAGCGGTTGACTGTTATCAAAAAAATCACGCGTTTTTCGCCTTAACATTGCAGCAAAAACGCAGCTTTGCCAGCGGTTGTGAGAGAAAATAAGAAATCGCACAACAGGGTGTCTACTAAAACAGGCTGGCCAAAAATCCGTAGTTTTACAGTGCTTTTCAGTACATTCCCAAAAATTTCAGTACCTCCTCAACAAAAAAAAAAAAAAATCAGTACTTGATCAGTACCTTCGTTTGACGAAATTCGAAAAATTTCAAAAATTTGAAAATCTCGCTCGAATTGCGGCCAAAATGACAAAAATTCCGGACCTTCTTGCGGAATTTCCGCACTTCTTCGGTGCTTCCGGACCGCCCTTAAAAAATCAGTGCTATTGCCGGACTTATCGGAAATTCCGAACGTGTAGACACTCTGCACAATTTTCACCTCAATATCGCGGAAAATACGCGGTTATGATAACAATGCGATCATAATATTCATAAATAGTAGTAATTTGAGGCAGGCGAATGGCTAAGATTTTCCTTCATTATCGCGTGATACCACATACCCACTCCGGAGTTCGAATAGTTGCACGTTTCATTTCCTCACATAACCATGTGAACATAAAACGTGCTTCCTAATTCATGCAGCCGTTTTGTAGAAAAAAGAAAAATTACGCAATTTTCACCTCGAAATTGCGCGCAGTGTTCGAAACTCAACTTGGAGTTTCAGGGGCCATGTGGCGCATCAAGCTCGATTCTTAGGGGCCATTGAAGATTTGTTAGGGGCCAGATTGACTTTTGACTTCTGTATCACGGCGCATTTAGTGACAAGTTAGACGCAAGGTGTTTTAGTTGCTACAACTATTAGCTGTTACTTGGGGAAATATCAAACAATCACCAAACAGAAAAACTAGGCTTTTTTTTTTTTGGGGGGGGGGGGGGATACTAGGGGCCACGATGGCGCAGAACCTTCATTTTTCAGGCGCCATGACCGATCTCTTAGGCGCTCTGCGCCTGTGAGTTTCGAACACTGATCGAGAGAAATGCGTGATTTTTCCGGCTGATTCGTTTCCAGAGCTTAGCACATACTATACTGAGGATTTGCGCGCAATTTTTCCAGCAGTTAGGTAAAATCACAGAAAATTATGTGTTTTGCACCTCAATACTACACCAACAACGCGATTTCTCCAACCGTTATGCAGGAACATAAAAGATCATACAATTTTCACCTCAATATCATGGAAAATGTGAGATATTGATACAGGGCCGGATTTACCTACTTGCCGCCCGTGGGCCGCCTGTATTTTGCCGCCCCCTTCTCATTCGTTTTGATTTTGAAACATCAATAAAAACCATCAAATGAACGTGCCAGCGGGGGAGGGGTGCATAAGACGCGTTTACTCGTGTTGAACACATTTTTTGGGAAAACCCAGTCAACACTACTAGCAAAAGTTGACGGAACTTTGCGCGAAAGTTAAGACTTGTAAACCTATCTCTGTGTGGACAAGGCCTTCCTTTCATAAGAAATGAACGAAAAAATTATGAAAGAACAAACATAAATAAGGATTAATGATTTTAACTTCCGCCGCCGCGCCGCGCAGACCGCACCGTGTTTGGCGCAATGCGTGAAGTATTCCGACAGTCTTGTGGGCGCTATGAGTTTCACGCCGACCGCTGCTGAATGCACTGTGTTTGACGCAATGCATGAAGTATTCACGCAGTCTTGTAGGCGCTCTGCCTTTCACGCTGATCGCACTGTGTTTGCCGCAACGCGTGAAGTATTTGTGCAGTCATGTAGGGGCTAGTATGTGTTACATGCCGATCGCCGCGCCGAGGGCTTCTCCTTTACATCTTAAGTCCTCGTCATCGTTTCTCTCTAAGTCGCGCCGTTTCAGGCCAAATTGCGTGTTTGGTTTCTCTCTCAACTCGACTAATTAAAGGTGTTGTCTCTTGTATCACTGAAAGACGACAAATAGAGAAATTACTATACTCTCAGAAAATTAGAGATTTTGACGCCTTTTCTCGTTTGTAATTTTTTTTTTCTAAATTCGAATTTTCTGTGCCTACATTTAAAAAAATTTCAAAATTTGCCGCCCCCTATAGATTTGCCGCCATGGGCCGCGGCCCATGTGGCCACCCCCTTAATCAGGCCCTGTATTGATAACAGTGCGAGTATGATATTCATAAACGGTAGTAATTTAAGACAAGCGAATGGCTAAGATTTTCCTTCATTTTTGCGTGATACCACATGCCCACTCCGGAGTTCAAATAGTTGCACGCTTGATTTCCTCATATAACAATGTGGACATAATACATGCTTTCATCATTCATGCAGCGGTTTTGTGAAAAAAAGAGATTTCGTGATTTTCGCCTCGATATCGCGAAAAATGCGTGATTTTTCCGGCTGATCTATTGCCAGATAGCACACACTATGCTGTGGATTTGCACGCGATTTTTCCAGCAGTTAGGTGAAATCATAACAAATTACGCATTTTTCACCTCAATACTGCATCAACAATGCAATTTTCAAGCTGTATCATCGATACTTTAGAGGTATCGATACCATCAATACTATTTCTAAATTATGCCGTAATTCAGAGTGTGCGTACGTCTATCGGCCGTTTAATTCCGCCTGATTTACGCTTCTCTTGAAACCGCTCTTATACGCGTGCTTAGTCAACTATTATTATGAACCCTTCACTACTGCTATCAAATCGAGCAGTTTTTAACATTTTTAACAAAAGTAATCATCTTGAGAAACCTGATTACTCCATCGTTCGTCACACTTCATAGTGAAAGTGAAAAAGAAGAGAGGGAAGTTGTTAAAAAAGAAAAAAAAGCCTTCTTCATGGCCAAATAGGATTAAGTATCAATATCATCGATATTGGGGTCTGAACATTGATACCACATGGTATTGATATCGTTGAGTAACGATGAGTAATGATCAAAAGTATCGATAATTTGGAAGTATCGATTAAGTATCGACAGCCCTAATCCTTTGCAACTTTGAAGTAAGTTTCTGTTATATTGAGGGTATATTTCGTGGTTTTATTAAGTTTTGTCTCCCTCCCAGCAAGTTTTGCCTACCCTCAACAACTTTTGACTACTGAAGATTTTGCTAAAATGCCAACCCTGGAATTGATGCTGCCACTGTCTTAAGCCCGTGTCCCACTATCAAATGAACTCATCAAATCCAAAATGGCAGATCGCTTTCGATTGTTTATTAGCATTGGACGGCCTGCCAACTTTTCATAGAAGACTTGCGCGAAAACCAGTAAGCATCCCTGCCATCTTCCATTTGATGAGTTCATTCTATAGTGGGACGCGGGCTTGAGAAAAACCCTACTCATAATTGCAGACTCAAGGGAAAAAGTAGCTAATACATAGATTTATCACCTCTGGCAAATATTCACTGCCATATGATTGCATGATTAGTTCATTATAAGTTTGAAAACAGATAAATTGAATCTTGTATGGATCTGGTTTGAAACAGGCCAGTTCTCTTTCGCTGCTGTTGCTCCATTTTTCAAATTTTAATGAAACAGGAGCTTTCTTGGGTTTCATGCTGAATACGGATATCAAAAGTGATGTGAGCATAGGTAAATTCGCCATACTGCTGTGCACAGCATCTTGAATAGGTACTTGAAGTATAACTGTGAGTTACGATAAAATTTGTAACAATTTTTGACACCATTAGAAAATCTTAAGTTTTTGATGAAAGATTTACTGAAGAAGATTGTTGAGTAAGTCTTACCAGATAAATGAAGACACTGGGAACTTCGGTAGCTGACAGGTGTTATCCGTCTGATGACCGCATGGCAGGATTCTATACCACTGAATGAGCTGCTGTGATATGAGGAGTGAGGGAACCTGAGAACCAAGAAGATAATTTTTTGGTGTTAATCATGAAAAACACTGAGGATAATATGCGGAGCAAAAAAATATGGTTTTTCCTTTACTTCCTGCAGTTATTGACTCTGTTCAAGTAGGAAACATGGTCACTTTACACATCCATCAGCAATACTCAGGAGTGATACCTTGTTGCACCTACACTCAAATTTTTTCATTGCAACTTTTTCAGGGGCAAAAAAAAATGTGTAACATAGACTAACATGGAAATCAAAATATCTCTTTTCAATACATAAGTAATCCTAATATCTTACATTCAGACATTTCTCATTTCCTTGCATGTAGGGAGGTAATGTTTTTCAAACGAGACAGTGATCATAATTCTAACTTGAAATTATGTGAGTGTAAACTTCGAAAGCCCAGAAACATTCACAGGAAGTTTCAAGGCATGATGTTCCTTGGTTTACTGTAGAGAAATTTGGAAGGTAATTAGACGAGAAATTTAGCCAGTCTGATTCTGGTTGAGTCCGTGAAAAATATCAATGGCTAAAGTGCAGAACAAGAATTCTCCATTGCGGGGTTCCAAAATCTTAGCTCCTGACATTATGGCTCGAAATTTATACAGAATATTTTGCTGACAGAGAAGAAAAATCAAGGAAATTTTCAAGTATTACGTTGACTATTTCTCTGAGAGAAAAATAAAGTGTGACAAGAAGTCTAAAACATCGCAAACAGAGATACTGAGTCTTGAACTTTTGCCATTGATATGGTTTTTGCACTGGCTATTTGAGCAACAGAAACAACTCCAGAAAAACGAAGCAGGTTTTAGGAATCACGATGTCAATAGGTCGCAGCTATTTCTCATCCGATGCTGATGATGAGTGAAGAGCAACTTGTTAAGCTCTTCCCGTCTTCATTGATGACTAATGAATGATTAGTCAAGCTCTCGAAAAAGAATAGACCGCTCAGAAGAGTGCTCATTGGTCATTGTTCCATAAAAAGCGGTATTATTCCTGGATTTAGTTCCTGGAAATAGTTGATTCTAAAAGAGTTTGAGACGACTCTTTGAATGATTGGATTCATGTTCAGAGGCGATCATTGTTTGTTGGCTTGAAAGTCAAAATTAGCAAAGATTCCAAGAAACTGCACAATGCAATACATAACGCTAGTTCATTCATAGCCAGCCTTGGACAGACTACCTTCAGGAATGAGTAGCAACAGACTAAAATTAGTACTGATCTGCTGCTGATCTTAATGGTTTTACTTAGTAACCATGCTCATACACCATATCGCTTGTAAGTGCTTTCACTTTATTACTAAAACGAACAGGCAATTAAAACAGATACATAACTCTTCAGTTAATGGTAGTCAAATTTCGAAACCAGCCACAGCCTAAAGAACATGCGAGACTCTGTCATCACATCTCATTTATGAAAATATAATCAATTGTTGATAAGAATTTCATCAGTAGTTGATGCGAGCAATATATGTGATAAAAGACGCAAAAAGTTCCTTACCAAAAACGTTAAGTAGAATATGATGACTCAGGAACAGCAAGAGGATGAACTTTTGATTCCGGCAATCACGCGCTGCTATCAAACAGGTAGATCTAGATATGAAGGTTTAAACAACGGCGGATAAATCAAGAGATCTCATTGTCTGCGTGAGAAACTTCTTTAAGAACGAGCAAAGTAAATATGATTAGTTCAGCTGAACGAAACAACAATATGCTGACCATGCTTGTGCTTCACCGCCACCGCGCCAAATCCTAACCTCTCGTTCCACGAGCAAGCGTTGTTCAGTGTTGCCTAGTCTCACCGATGAATCCATTTTCGAGGACTGGAGAAAAGTCGCTACTTTCGATAAGAAGTAGGAAACAAAATCACATTTTTGACTTTGATTGTATTCAATAGATCTTGAATTTCAACGGACAGAAAAAGTTTAAGATGCCCTTCTATCTCGTAGCTTGTAGGATACAACTAAACCTACTCGACGGATGTCCATGTTGCATACACACTCAGTTGAAGGCACTCGGGCTTTCAATATGCTTTCAGCGGAGGCGCTCAACACGATTTCATTGGTTTTTCATCAAAGGAAGAGATGAGAGAAGCTCACTGCGACCACTTTTAGTGTATTTTCCGAAGGAAATACTCTATTTTATTCTCATCATTTCCCAAAAGATGACGGGTGTAAAAAATGGTGAGAGAAGATGGCAAAATGAAAGTAAAAAATTCGGAACGGTACAGAGTGTCGGCCTGATAAATACCTATACTTAAGCCACTAAACGCATTCAAGCACAATTATTTCTAAAAGAATCGATCCAGTGCTGCGGTTTACATAAGCTTGAGACTTGGGTCTGCAAATCCATCCTTAAAAAAAAAAAATTGTAACCAGGTCCCAAAGACAAGGCTAGGGTGCTCGACCTTAGCATGTTGCGGGAGGCCTGAGAGTCCCTTTGGAACCCTCCAGAAAATGGGAGACATTTACATTTGTCAAGCTTATTTACATAAGCTTAAGACTTGGGTCCGCAAATCCATCCTAAAACATGACCTTTTATCTCTAAATTCAAAAATAAGGAACACCTAAAAAGTAAACGCGATACAACTGTTCGCGCAAGATGGATGTCCACATTCCATATGAAAAAATTAAGACGCGACGGCGTGAGTCGTAAACTCACATTGCTCTCCTCTATGCTATTAGTTTGCGGTACCATCACGAATATAAGACAAACGGAAACAAACACATTGTGGAAATACAGCGAGGGAAAGGATGCGCGTTTACGACAGCGCAGAGATACAACTATTCGTTCTTGATGGACGTCCGTGCTGCATCTGAAAAATTGAAGGCGCGATGACGCGGAGCGTGAGCTCTCAGTGCTCTGCTATATGCTGCCAATGAGGTGTCGCTCAGATTCAGGAGAAAAGTTAAAAAAGAGGCCCGAACACATCTCTCCTACCTTCGGCTGTGTTGATACTCGTTCTTTCTTCTTTTTTCAGGTTCTTGTGTGATTTTTTTTTAGGATGGACTTGCAGACCAAAGTCTTAAGCTCATGTAAACCGCAGCACTAAATCGGTTATTTTGGAAATAATGGTGCTTGGATGCGTCTAGTGGCTTCAATTTTTTATGTTTGTTTTTTTTAAATTTTAGAAGTCTGTCGGTTACCTCAATACGTTCAATTTTGCAATTTTTACTCCATACAATTAATAAACTTTGAACCTGAAAATAGCGTAAACTTGTGCTGCTTTGCCAAAATTTTCTGAACCCCTCTCCACGGGGGGTAGATGCCCTACTAGGAAATATCACATTACGCCCCTTTAACCAGCCAAGGGTCTACGCCCTCAGATGCGAGCCAGTCCGTGAGTCCGACCCTGGACGCAATTCATGAGCAGCACCTCATTCAGAGGCTCTGAGAGATGTCCGTAGTCACTACTCACAATCAAACATGCTTTAGGTCTTTTCTTCACAGGACGTTTCATGGGATTTGTCCCAAGTTCGAATCGTAGAAATGAAACTTCTGGGCTTTTCCCCCGTTAAATAAAATAAAAAAAAAAATCTTCCTCTTCTCTCTGAGTCGCTCTTTGGGACTCCACAATGACTCTATTCGGCTCTGTGATTAGTGTGAGAAACAACTTAATCAGCCAAAGTACACTTAATAAAAGAACAACTTAATTTGGGGAAAAGGCTGCAAATAAAGAAAAGGAATAAACAAAACCCGGAACGTTTCAAAATAATAACAATTTCATTTTCAACCGGAAAATAAATTAAAAACAAAAACGAGCCGTCGCTACGCTCTTATTGCGAGACCGAGACTCAACGACGGCTCGTTTTTGTTTTGTTTTTTTTTTTTTATTTATTTTCCGGTTGAAAATGAAATTGTTATTATTTTGAAACGTTCCGGGTTTTGTTTATTCCTTTTCTTTATTTGCAGCCTTTTCCCCAAATTAAGTTGTTCTTTTATTCTGTGATTAGTTTTGACTAACTTAATATTTTCTCCAACTTCGCAAGTGAGATTTTTCCCTGGGACTGTAATCCCTTGAAACGTCCCTTGGAGAAAAGGTCTTATTTACCCGATTAAGAAAGTCCATTTACTTACAGTGGTTGCTCGATGTTAGTGATACTCGGACGTACTTACGCTGAAATGCAATGCGTCCAAATGATATGAACCAAGAGGAGCTATATGAAGCACGGAAATCCTATGTAAATTGCACATCCACAAAATGAACCTACGCGGTCTCTTCTCCGTTAACTGAGAGACTTCAACGCAGAGGAGAAAAGTTGGGTGGTATGAAACGCTTGATACAACTATTTCGACTTCGGAGTAGGTAAAATTGCATATCCGCGGGATGAAGGAGAACACACGCAGTTACTTTTCCGCTGACATACGAGGTCTGTCCGGAAAGTGTCCGACCTTGTTGATTATCTCGTCATCAACGGTTGATAGGAAAGAGGTTGGGGCTTGGGAATATCTTTGCAGGGACTCTCCTGAGTGCAGGTATGCACAGCCGGATTATCACACGTTGAATTAGTCGTTGGTGATTCGCTGATTATAGTGCGGGCTATTCTGCTGTGAACACCGGATTTCGTTTTTCCTAAAAAAAAAAGAAGTTAATGAGAGTAGGGTGGGAAGAGTACCTATGTGAACAGATCATCTCCCCAAGGCGCCCTTAAGCTACGTCAAGTTTCTCAGTAACTCTCTTTATTGATAGTAGAGCATTGGGGGGCGTATTCATGATGAACGACACCTTTATGATCGAAGAGGATAGTCAACATTGTTTTTACATTGCTACGACTCTTTCGAGCTTTCTACAGGCGAGGTCTCGGAGGTGCGATCCGAAGTGACGATTGCACTTTTGTCTCAGCGTCGTACCCGTAGATCCAAGCTAGACGCGTCCCCTGAGATGATCTGTTCACATACTCTTCCCACCCCACTCTCCTTAACTCCTTCTTTTTTAGGAAAAACGAAATCCACGATCACAGCAGAATAGCACGCACTAATCAGCGAATTACCGACGACTAAGTCAACGTGTGATAATCCGGCTGTGCAAACCTGCACTCAGGAAAGTCCCTGCAAAGATATTCCCAAGCCCCAACCTCTTATCAATCGTTGATGGCGAGAAAGTCAACAAGGTCGGATACTTTCCGGACAGACCTCGTAGAGACTTTAACGCAGAAGTAGAAAAGTTGGTTGGGACGAAATGCGTAACAATAACTATTTCGACTTAAGGAAACGGTGGTTTGGCAAAGCGTGACGTACTTTGCAGTAGAGGTTGTAGACCTACGTGACAAGAGCAATGGGAAGAGGTCTAAATTCCTGAGTTTCGGCGTGATGTAAATTTAGATTGGACTCTTGGTCTTGGTGCACTCAACGTAGGGTGGCAAAAATGGAATTCAAACATTAATAATAACAAAATAAACAAAAATAAAGAGATAAATAGAAATACTCTAACTTTTATTTTGTATTTCCCAGTCTCAATACGTCTCAGGGCCGGTCTTTGGGCAGGGCACAGAGCCGCACAGTGGATCGAGTCCATCAGAGAGGTCGGACATGAAATTCTTGACTAAAGTTGCAAAATTTGATGTTTATTTCGTCACACTTAAAATTTTAAAGGGTGTACCAAGAAGGAAATTTCACGAAAAAACCAATGAAACCACTTTTAGAGCCTCAAAGTTGTGTATAAATGGAGTTATGAGCTTTTAAAGTTTTCAAATTTTGTCCGACCTCTACTATTGACTCTGTCCACTGTGCTCCGCGCCGCCATAAGCGTCAAGGAAGCATTACAGAACGCCGAAGGCGCTTTCGCGTTATAGGTTTTTTTTTTTTAATTTTAAAAAAAATCCTTTACTTTTTTTAGGACGATAAGATATTTGGTTTATTTTTGACTTGCTGCGACCAAATGCATCCTCAAATGCATCCCCCTTCTGTCAGCGCCGAGAGGGTTTTTTTTTCTCCTTTATTTTGTGAATGCAATGCAATGTTTTGCTCATTGCGGACACTTCATTTTGTCAAGGCTAGAAGGTCAGAAGCCTCCTATAGCGCCCTGGAAACATATCGACGGTGAAACTACCAAACCACGTATCTCGTTTGCGGTGTTTAAAAATCTACGCTCACATATTATTTTTTTGAAGTAGACCAAATCAATATCATTCCTTGAAATTTTCACGGAATTTTCTCCGCACAAAGAGGAAAAATCACAGAAATTTTCAAGACTGGATGTTAAGTAGTTTTTCATTTAAAAAATAAAGTATGACAGGAACTCTGTGACGTCGCAAACCGAGATACGTGGTTTGGTAGTTTCACCGTCGATATGTGGGGTGGGCGCACTCTCATTTCATTTCTTTTTTCAATGTATGAATTTGATGGTTTTTTTTTGTTAATTTTTAACACTGTGTCTCATCCAAGTGGAATAAGGACGGCGTCTTACTAACGGCGACCCTGAAAGAGTTCGTTCCTGATTACCATACTAGCGTAATCAGGAAAAACGCCGTATGAACATTCGAGAGTTGTCAGATTTCCTTCGGTAAAATGTTTATTCTTAAAAAAAGCTGCGAATATTTTCCCTTGAAATTTTCAGGAAATTTAGAACAAAATACGAACAAAATTATCTGAAATATTGGAAGGAAAATATTCACAAAACCGGGAAATTCGTGTTTTATCAAAAGAAATTTGGCAACGCCTGAAGGTTCATACGGCGTTCTTCCTTAGCGAGGCAGAATGGCAGGGCGGAAAAAACAGTTTTAAGCATTATTTTTTTTTTTTTTTTTTTTTTTTTTTTTTTTTTTTTAAACTTCTTCAAATACCACACAAGTGGTAATCCTGCGCTTCCAGTTAGAGCCCCGCCCCCCTCCGTCCCTACTATGTACCAGCCCGAGGCAACCGTTGTTTGAGACCATCAAACTCGGGTGGCCTAGCCAAGAATCGAACCCGGGACCTCCTGAGCGATTATAGAGCCAGCGCTACAACCACTACACCACAGGAGACCGACTTTTTTTTGGGAGGATCTCAGAAAACATTTTTTTTTAAAATTCAGGAATTCCTATTTCACTCGACAAGACTCTTTTCCTGTTGCTCTTCAAATCAAACTAATGAGTATTTTTGGTGAAAACTTTGGCAAATAGGTATGAAAATTGATGAGGCGGCAAAAAGAGAAAACTGATACAAAACTGATGGATTCAAGCGTAATTTAGTTTTATTATAGACGTGATTTCATAATTTTTGTGATAGTGAATCCAAAAATTTCAATTGTATTTAGTCTACAACACTGGAGTATTACATCTACCTAGAATTATGATCAAACAATTGTACGCTGTGAATGTATAAAAATAGGTCACTATTAATAATATGCTAAGTTCCTTGATAACACAATATTTGTCTACAGAAAAAAAACGAACAAATAAAAAAAAAATAATTACATCAGTCTTTGCCAGTATTAGCTTAATTTTATTTTTTTATTTTTGACTTAGATATGGTACTTTAAGTTACCTTCCTGGTCATCATGGGGATAACTATGTGAAAAGAATAATGTACAAACTTGCATGAAAACATGACAGAAGAAATTGAATTACTTAATATTTGATAACCCATTAATCCATAAGAAAATATTGTGATAACTAGATTATATAATTTTACATAGTGACCTTCAGAAAAAGCATAAAGTCAAATGCACCTATTATTAAGACCGGCTATTAAGGACTGAAAAATGATGTCAAAAATCCCCTTTTGCTTTTGTTCTTGTTTTTTATTAATTTAATTGACCTTCTAACTTTTTTCCAACTGAGACCGGGTAACTGGATGACTTGCAATCAGGTCATCATATTAATGAATGAGAATGAACTAGAGGGTATAAAGCACCTATCAAATTAGAGAGGAGATTAAAGAAAGTTGAAATTTCTTCATAGCCATTGATGCTCGTTTCTGTAAACAGAAATACTCATTAAAAATAGAAGAAACTCATTCAGAACAAATTTGCCTTTATAGAGTTAGACAGTTCGGAGCAACATTGGTAACGAGCATCAGGAGAGCAACTGCAGACGCATTTCAGTGTTTTCGAAGATCTCTACAAGCTTTGAACCAGATAATTAGAAGGCTGCTCTGTGCTGATGATGGTTGCCTTACTGATGGTGCTCCAAACAACTTAGTCTAAAGGAAAAAATCAGCTCTTAACAGGTTTTTACCCTCTTTATAATGAATATCACTGTTTTATAGGGATGTTGACTCAGTAGCTAAATTGTAATATCAACATCTTTCCTCAAGAATGAAAGGTACTGGACCTTTTTACTTCATCCTTTCTTACCACTATTTGTATGGATTTATGTATTGATCCTATTCTTGCTGCATGGCCTGTTCATGTTTTCTGTTCTACTGATAGACTATAATCTAGTTTCAAGTGACAGGACCATTACCCATGTTCGGATTGAACATGGGAGATATATGGTAATAATCAGTGGAAAATGCAGTGCGATAAACATCAACTAGATCGTAACTGTAATTGACAATTTTGAAAGGGAATAAGCTTAAAAATTACCAATTTATGATAAAACTAATAAATAGAGAAACCAGATTTTTATTTAAAACCATAAAGAAACAGGATGAAAAAGGAGGCATGAAAGAAAAAAATAAAATAAAAAAACAGAATAGAACAGAAGATTGAAAAAAAGAGAAAGACTAGTATAATTGTTGTACAGGGAGCTCAATAAAGGTTTCCACAATAAAATAAAGGGAGTAGAGGAAAAATTTATACGGCTGTATTTCCACACATTTTAAAAAGCCTTGCAAAATTAAACTGAGAAACATACTTGCCACATAATGCTGGAAAATCAGCACATTCCCCAGGAACTCAATGTATAATATCTCGATTTTATTGCACAAACTGGCAACTTTACTGAGAAGATAGTTCAAGGAGCTCAAACTATTTTTTCTATAATTGTGGAGAACAAGATGCAACACTACACGATACAATGGTATCTTCAGTAAATTTCAACGCGTTATGAAATGAAGAATTCTTTCCGACACCGTGGATTTTTTTTTACCTTCTTACATGTTCCTAAGTTACTCAGATTTTTCAGTTATAATCAATGATAAGAAGCACTCCCAAATATTAATGAAAACCACCTAAGTTGATCATAAAATTAATTAACGCCTATACAACTAAAATAAAAATTGAGCATACCATCCATGGACTTTTCAGGGATAATGGGAAAATTAGTGATACTAGTATTCTTATGTATACAAAAGTCAACAAGATTAAATTTTAAAAAGCTGCAAAGCTTCGTTGATATCCCATTATTTACAAATTTGAGGCAAGAGCAACCAATCCATAATATTTACAAAATTGGTGCAGTTGCTAATTTTTCCTTCGATCCAGAGTGGGAACCTTGAGGAGAATATAAAAAGAATTTTTGGGAATTTTTTTTTTAAATTAAGCTAAAATTTACCTAAAGATAGGCATCAAAGATTGACATTTCTATGCCTACTTTGAAAGAGAAAAAAAATGGTGGTGATATACTAGGTAGTCACACTGGCATTCCATCTAAATTAAAATTATGCTCTTCAAAAGGTTTAAAAATCTGGGCTTTCAAATGCAGTACAACAGAAAAAAGTATCTATTTAATTCATTAGAGGTTTTTTTTTTATTTAACAAAATAATGACAATCAAAATTTCAGGAACTTAAAGTCTTAATGTAACTTGCTACTTTATTGTTTTGTTTCAACTATTAACTTATTGATTACTTCACTCGGTACAGAAAACCGAAGAAATCAAGAAATAACAAGACTAATTATGGATACAATAGTTACATAATAAATACATAAATAAATAAATTATTGAGTTGATAATAATCAAATTTATTTTATGAATGAGTGGACTGCATTTCAACAAAACAGAAAAATAAAAACTAAACAATAATTTTTTTAAGAAAACAGGAAACAATCAAATGTTGCACAAAAACCTTCAGTATGAGAGGAGACTGGATTAGAGGTTCAAGAGCTACATTTAGAAAGAGAGAGAGAGACAATAACACTTACAAAAACGACTATCATTAGTCAACAAGCTTGAATTATTCTAATTCATAGATCAAGATGCATACAGACGGTTTAGTTCCTTTTGATATTTCAGTTGAATGTCCTTGCGTTTCAGTTTAAATGCTGCGGTTACAAGGCCCATGTCAGGAGTCCATGCTTCAGGGACCATTTTGATTGCGGTTGGAATTTCAAATTTCTCTAATTTACCTGTAATCATAAGATCATAAATTAAGAATGGTGATGAAGAAAGAGATGGAAAAAAAAATACACACACGAGAAGGAGATGGCTACAGAAATGCAGGCCCATGTAAATATCGAAGAAGGTATATCTTACTGAAGAGATATGGCAAAGTGAGTAGACTTCACATTAGTAAAATAGCACAAAAATCTTGTTGGATATTCAGACGTATGAGAAATATCTGAGGTCTACTCCTTAACGCACAATGTGGGCAACCTACATCAGACATTTCTTCAAAATTCTTTGTTTGCTGGTGCATTTTTCTCGGTTGCAAACAACCAAACATGCTGAACGAGACAAGAGAGAAAGCCTGATTGAGTAAAGGGACAACCTAATCCACATGGTGACAATCTTGCGACAAACGAGTAATCAATTTTTTCCATGCGTTTATTCTCAATTGTTTTAAGCAATACAAATGGGAGACATTGAAACAATCTAGATAAAATGCAAAAAACAGATCCAGAACCATTTTGTTTTCCTGTCAGAAATTGGGAGACATTTTTTAGAGGTTGATACAACCTCCTGATATGAATTATTGACAAATTGTGAAAAGGACCCTGTACAATACTTATGGGAAAATGCATTTTTAATTTTTTAATTAAAAACCGAGAAAGGTATCTCAGAACGTTCCTGGAAATACTAAAAACCCATAGAACATAAAAAAATCTCAGAATGAGTTTAACTTATTTTCAACTCAAACTACAACTGTATCTTGGAGGCAAGCAATCATTTTGCTGATTTGAGATACCAAACAGACACCTCATAATAGACGGTATGGCATTTGCGAAGGGAACTTGGTTCCAAAAAACTACAAGCAGTTCTTGTCATCAGTTTGTTCCTACCAGATACAGCTATCAAATGATCAAAAATAGCAATAGGAATTCTCAGAGGCATGTTCAGTATGCACTCGACTTAATTCATCTCAAATGGTCGCCACAACTCTTAGCTTCCACACCACAGACACGTAGCTTTTTAAAAGGGCCCATTCCAGTTTCGACTGCAAAAAGAAGAAGCTTGGACCACCAACTGAGGAAAGAAATACTTATTTTATAAAACTGGAAGATTTGCTTACTTTTCTGGCCGTGCGCGATGAGTTCTTTGAGGACAGCTTTTTCAACGGTGGTATCTTCACACAGTTCCTCCAGGGTCTTGTTGTGAATGCCTAATTTTACTGCTAGTGCCTGGAGATGAACCGGGTTGGGGACTACTAGAGCTACAACGTGATCTTTTATTGATTCACCATAGACACAGATATTATCTACTAAAGGAGAGGTCTTCAGCTCTGTCTCCACTTTACCCAGTGATACGTATTCACCAGCCTGTAATTTGACTAAATCCTTCTTACGGTCTGAAAAGAGATAAGAGTTCAAAAATTAGGTGAAGAAGCTACCATGAGTCACTTCATCCAGTTACTGGAAAAAATCATATTTTTATTAGACAACCTATGTTTTCAACATGATTTTTGTGTCCATAAACATTGCAAAACATACAAATAATACAACTCCAATTAATGCTATCAAATATCATGTTTTGGTGTTTCATTGAACGTGGATTCAGGGTTGAGAAAAATAAATTTCTTCATTTTCAAAATGTAGGGAATTTGAAAGATCAACTTATTTTCCATACATTGATATTTGTCAGGTTTTCGAGTCTCATTTCTATTATATGCTAGTTAAAAGTGATGAGTGTTCTACAACCGAAGTTCACCCCAAAAAAAAAAAAGATTAATGGACTGAATGGGCGCAGCATTGATAAGCTCTGATCACCTAGATACCATATGTCAGTAGATTAAGATCAACTGACTAATGCTAAAATCGGAAACTCGTCAGCATTTTGAAGAGTCAGCGAAAAAATCGGTAGTGTGAGTTCACAGGCTAGAAATCCATTTTTCAGGTTGTCATTTACAAGGATGGGATAAATAATTTTTTGGAGTGATACAATATTTGTGGAACATTATTTGTGGAATAGATATCAATCTTCATGTTTTTACTCTTTGACAAGAATATGTATTGATAACTATCCGGCAGCAAAAAAGAAAAAAAAAAAAAAAATTTCCAATATCATCAATTTTCTTGCTGACTGAAATTAATTTAACTTCAAGGCTACAGGAAAGTGGTTTATAATTACCAATTATTTTAATCACTCCGTCAGCATGACATTCTCCAATATCTCCAGTCCGGAACCATCTCATTCCATCAGTTTCAAAGAAATCCTCTTGGGTTTTACCTGGGTTTTTGTAGTAGCCAGGAGAGACGTTTTCACCACCTGAAAGTTATTCAGAAAAACATTTTTTTACAAAGGAGTTTGCTTGAGAGTTAGTAATTTTGTAGGACTTCTATTAGTGCTTTAGTTTCAATTGTTTCGTAATTACGTTGTTCCGAGTTTGTTACATTTCCAAGTTTACCTAGTTATTACTAAAATTAAATCATTGTCATTATTGTGTAATTGCTAGGGTTTCGTACATATCTTTTTACTGCAGTTTTAATTTCTTCCCTTTTCAGCGATTGATGATGATGCTGTTCATCATTGAAACGTCCTGCACTGTGTTTCCATGTCCGGTGTTAGCCTGGTTCCAGCAATTTTTCCCCTTGTTTTTCACTTGTTATTTATAAACTTAAAGCATACTGAGCACTAGTCTCATTTATCAAGACATTTTAAGTGTATTCCGTCATTCTATGATCAACCTCATGAAGTGAGTAGCATGCTACTTTAATGATATATAATTCCTGTAGACTCTGAAAAAAAAAAGGTTAAAATGTTGAAGTTCCAGAATAAAAAAGGGAAATCTTACCTATGAGAATTTCACCTCTAGGGAATGGTTTATCGGAGACTCTATAGTTGCCTTCGTCCCAGTCAGTAAGTCTTAAATCACAGACAGTTGTAGGAGCTCCTGCTCTACCTAAGCTCATGTCAAAACCTGAAATATTAAAAGCCCGTCATTGTAAAAAGATACAACATTGAAGAAAAAGGGATACATTTTTGTTATCTTGTCAACTTTAAAATTAAGGGACTCCAAACATTGGCACCAACATCAGAGTGCTTTAGCCAAAATTGATAACACTTAGAATTTGTGATGAGGCTTACATGAATTCTAATTATTGTCATTTTTCGCTGAAGAGATCAAATTTTTATAGTGGTTTTTGTCTTGGCATTAGCCAACTTGTCACAAGTTAAAAATCTTTTAGCAACTACTAAAAAGTCGGGGAAAATTATTCTTTGTACAAAGCTGATGAAACAAACGTTATGGTGCTTGCCCTGAAAAATAGTCTGAAGGACAAAAAACAAAGCACGAAATAGCATTGGTAGATTTGAGACATCTAACATTACTGCTAGCCCTGAACAAAAACAGATTTATGTAACAAAAACGATCATCTTGCAGAGGGTTTCTTTTGGATTTAGAGTTTTGTGACAAAAACACTCATCCAGCAGTAAGTTTCATTTCATTTAAGAACCTATTAATCGGAGACCAATTAGCTTCAGAAATGAATGAAAGTTACCGGTATGCAAAAGAGCTACATTAGAGGAGTGTCAGCTGCTTTTGCCATTTGATCACTAACGCTCTGCATTGATATCTAAAATGGAGTAAGAACTGTAGAGTCCCCCATCTCCCTTGAAGAGTAAGAATAACTCTATTTTTGATGATTTAACTGTCAAGAACAACAGATATTTGAATGATTCTCAGTTACCGCAGACATCTGATTATGATTATAAATTGGAATACTCCAGGAAAAATTAGTTTTTCTTTTTGACACATTGCCTTCTCTATGTTTCTAGTCTGTGTTCTAAGATATTTCCTGGAAGTTTGAGTGGGGTAACAGTCAAAAAAGAAATCATGTAATTACCATCCATAACAGTTCCACATGCACAAGTTTCAGTAAGTCCATAGCCTTGAATAACTTTTTCACAGATACAGATCTTGATCAATTCATGAGTGTCTGGTGATAAAGGCGCACCGCCACTTAAAATTAATCGGACTCTTCCACCTAGAAGTCGCCTCACTTGTTTGAAAACTAACCTGAAATTCGAATGAACACAAATTACTTTCAGAAAAATTGTTGGAGCACAGCCGTAAATCTTGACTTGTTTGAGCCAAAGCTGCATAAAGTACTAAAAGAAGCGGAAAAACTCTAATATGTTTGTACTAAAAGGGGGCTCAGCTGTTTTCTATGTTTAAGTTTTAAGTTCCCAGACAAAGAGGAGCACCCTTGAGATGAGAGAACCCGCTCAGCAAAATTTTGACTTTTGACTTTGAGAAAACTACACTACCACTAAAAAATGAATTATAAAAAAACGATTGCCATTTTCTGTAATTAGACATCAGTAGCTTTAAAGAAGGGTATCACAGATTAATCTATTCTAAATAAATTAGACTCCTCTCCGCCATCTTGTTAATGAGCTAGTGCGCAATTGGAACAAATTGTCACTGGTTTATTACAATTCTACAGGTAGGTTGAGATCTACAAGTGCTCCATATCAGCTGAGCACTTAAAAATAAGAAAACTTAAGATATCAATTATTTTGAAGTTACGCTTTTTTAAAATTATGGAATTTCGACACTTTCAAATGGTTTTCAAATCATGGTGTAAAGTCCAAATCCAAGTGCAAATCCAGCAAGTTAATAAGAAATCCAACAAGTTCTGTATTGGATATGACACTGAGAAAAATAATTATTAAAATACTGTTGCTTAAAATAATCATCCATCTATGTTGACTCACTTTTGAACAGAAAGAAAATATGCCTACAAAAACTCAACTCCTAAAAGAAACTAAGACCAAGATCAGATTTTAATAAAAATGAAAAAACATTAGGTTACCTATCAACTAAATGCGTGTTGAACCCTCGGCGAGTCCATTTTCGTTTGTACTCAAAAGCGAAATTAAACAGTGCTTTTTTGAATGCTCCTCCTTGAGATACCTTGTCATTGATACCTTTATATATCCTATCTAAAATTAGCTGCAAAAATAAAAACAGAAAAAAGTTACTTACACATTCAAAAGAAAACAGATAAAAAACATGGAGAGTCGTTGGAAGTGATGAAATTGTCTGATGTAAGCGAATGACATGGTAGACCATGACAGTGAATCTTTTTTCACCGCATAGAATTTAGTAAACGCCTTAAAAATTATGAAAAACCCCTCACGAAAAAAAAATAAAAAAGGAATTTGTTTCTCACTGAGCCCTTTCCTCAATCTCGGAAACGTTTTTTGCCAGCGTACTATTAGCACATAAAACATTTTCATAACCATCTTGAAGCAGTTACAGTTGAAGAGAGGGCAAAATAAGATCAAAAAGCTTTAATGGGAAAGCTAAAGAGATTTTTTCAAGTCACAACTTGTAAAGCACCAAAAAACTTCAACTTAAAAATGGCAAATTAACCTGGTGAAGCATTTCCCCTTTTTCTCTACCCACTTTTTAAAATTTTGACATTGATACACTGGAAAATGAAAGTGGCATTGTACGTTACTTGATTTTCATTTCGCATTATGTGCACTTAAAACTGGTCAAAACTTACGAATTAAATGAAAAAAAAAAAAATTAAGACACTATCTGAACTTACAGGAACTGCTGTCAAAGCTGTTGGTTGAAGGACAGAAGCATCACCTTTGGTCCCTCGTTTGATTTTACTAGATGTGTCGATCATGGTCAAAGGTGTAGAGTATCCTATCATCACACCGCTCATCATACATACAGATTCTGAAAGTTTGAATGAATTTCACTTTTAAGTTGTGTTAAAAGTACTTTGTATTAAAGGAATCTGCCCCTTCAAAAATTGCAGTGAACTCTTCAATATGCATCCTCATTTTTGGCATTTCTCTAAGGCAAATATAGACCAATACTGCTGAAAATATCACAGCTTCCACATTCCTTTCATTCTAATAATCACCAAACCGTAAAGGAAATAAAAATTTACCTGGTGATAGTGCAGATTGTTAAGAATAAAACTATTTTCTCACATGACACATTTTAAGGGATGCATAATCTTTTTTCTCCTTTCCTCTTTCAAAAAAAACAAAATTTGATTTGAGGTAACTGTTTAACATGGCAATTCTGAGAAGTATGGGAACCACAATTTTTGAGTAACCACACAAGATGCATCATGAGAGCTTGGTTTTCGTTATCTAAATAAACCTAAGAAAATGGGTCATCGGTGTGACAATTGAATGGTGCTGATCAAAATTAAAAGGTGCCTCAAAGTTTTCAGCAACATAAATCAGAATCAGAGTATCTAAAGACATGTATATGTTTCTCAATTTGCAATTTACAATGATAAAAAAGTAGCGAGGCCTCTTAATTTTGATCGGAAATATTCAACAGTCACAGCAATGACCCATTTTGATTGCGGAAATCAAGCTAAAAAGAGCTTAAACCTGTAAAACTTGTTTTGCTTTTGTTGAAACATTTCTAGAATTTGATGCGGTATTTGAATACGTGATGTACAGTTGCAGAAGGTAATGCGTACGCAATGAAGTCAGACAACAATTTCCCTTCTGAATTCTAACGTAATGATTCAATGATATTTTATGCAATATAGAATCTACGCAATGCTTCTTGCAAAATAAAAAAAAAACACACACACACAATAAATCTCGACGTTTTGATCTTTGCAATAAAAATAATAAATGTAAGTTACCTGCTAACAATTCAAAAACATGAGCTAGAGGTAGATAACCCAGAAAAACATCTGACTCTGTGTCGATATCTACAGCATCCGAGAACGCTTTCAGGACACTGATCATATTGGCATGTGATAGAATAACTCCTTTAGGAAGTCCAGTTGAGCCACTGGTGTACATAATGATAGCTGTATCTTTGGCAGTGGGAGGATTGCACTCTGTTAAAATTGGCAACAAACGACATGTTTAGAATGCTATGAAAAAATTAAACTAATACATATCATACTTATTCCCCACAGGTGTACATAATGATTGCTGTATCTTTGACAATGGAAGGATTGCACTCAGGTGAAATTTACCGATAAAAAAATATGTTTAGAAAACTATGAAAAAATTAAAATAATGTATCTCAAACTTATTCCCTAATCATACGAAAAAAACGTTACTTTCTAAAAGCAATCCCTCCTCCTACGTCAAACTGTAAACCCATTTCAATTCTGAGCCTTAAAATATTGTTCCAAGTGACTTAACTTGGAAATTGCAAAAATCAGTTGATTACTGAGCGAAACAAATAAAATTTAATGCGCAATGTTATTTGAGCATTTTAATTTCACCAATGAGAATAATTCAAAAAGATTTAGAGCTCTGGCATGAAAGGATTATCAGTCACTTAATTTGTATTCATTTACATGCTCCATAAATATTTTGTGACATTGACGACTGAAAAAATTGCTTGGAACTTTAAAGAAAAAACTGAATGAAACTGAAAAAAGAGGCGGGCAATGTTGACACTGAGTTACCAATTTGGATGGTAACATTTTGAGAAAGCTTCAAATTTAAAGCGATAATATTAACTGAAATATGAAATTATGATAATATTTTCTCTTCTGAAATAATCTACTGTTAGCAGATGATGATTTTGCTAGATTATTTGGTCTATGATATGTTTACATTATCAGGAATGTCCCAAACGACCTTATTTATCGATAGGGGTTATCTCTTTGAACTGAGTTTTTTATAAAAAGAACAGACTTTCCCATTATCAGCATCTGAGCACAAACACACACATGTACTGAAAAAATTGAATACAAAATGATGAATGGAAATGTTAAAGAGAACTTTCTATTTTTCTTTTTGAAGGCCTAACTTCTCCATTAGAGAAATGTTCAGAAATTTGGAAGATCACACTTACCATAGTCAGATTTCGATCCAACATCTAGGACTTGCTTGAATGGAAGAATTTCAACACCTGATTTAAATCCACTAGTATCGGTTGGTTTGAGCTGATCTTCCATAAAAATTACAGTTTCTACCAATGGAGTTTTATCCAAAATCGCTCTGAATTTAGGAAGTAAGTCGTGGGTGGTAATGACCATTTTAACTTCAGTTTCGTTAAGGGCATGAATGATGGCCTCTTCCCCTAGAGTAGCGTAAATGGTGACAACTAGAAGAAAAACATATTTTAATGAGGATGAGACGATGCAAGTTAAAATAGATATTCCATGATCAAATAGTTTCATATTAATATATTTTCGGGAGTGTACTATGTTTGAGGTATTTTTCACAACTTAGAGGAATGATTCGCTAGTTGATAGATAATTTTCTGATTTGAGGAAATTTCTTGAGAATTTCCAAGCAACACATCGCGCAACAGCATGACACATTATAAGCATACAAGTAGAAACGCACTACAGTATGTTTCATTTGAAGTCAAAAGTGCATGAAAAATGTTGTAAAAAAAAGAGCAGCATAATTCACACAATCGAAATATTTCGTGTGTAATGACACAAAGTAGTTATTTTGAGCACTATCTACAATATTTACCTGGCATGTTTTGTTTAAAACAACCATGTGCTGCAATTAACCACTCTGCTCTGGTTTCCGCAAAAATGGCAACATTCTGTTCAGGCTTATGTCCGACTGAGCGAAGTCCTTTGCCAAAGTTCTTTGCCTGAAGTTCCGCTTCTTTGAAGGTTCTCCATTTATATTCTCCCATTACATACTATAAGCAATAACAAATTTACGGAAATTAATTTTGAAGTAGTTTATTAACATTAATTACACCATGTTATGGTTCTCATTTGAGACACTTCTTTCACAAACTTGAAAGGGCTTAGACTTGTGAAACAAAGGAATTTGTTACTTACATGCACAAATTTTAATATGCTTTTGATGCCTTTCGGGGCTGTAGGTACACATATTCAGCAGTAAAACCATGACAGATTCCTTTCTAAAGGATTCAATTAAATTGAACATAAAATCTTCTCATACACAAAACTATTCCTAGCTTACAATTCGCTTCTATTAAAGAATATATGTTCACCGACCTCTGCCTGTTGCATAACTAAATTTTTCCTAACACTCTATGGCAAAAATTTCTTCTATCACAAAATTATGTGTAAAACGTCCAATTTCCTCAAGTTAAGTCAAACACCAAAGTAAAAAGGATTGATAATACTTCGAATTAAGCAAAACTTTGGTGTGGCAATATCATTAACAAACAAAAATTATAAATTGAGATACGAACTAAGTATCCAAAAAAATTAATGAATAAAAAAACAAAAAAAGGAATTAAAAAATAAACAAATAAATGAAAAACAAAAAATTTTTAGGGGTAGTTTTTAAGCTCTTGGGATAGTTCAAACTAATATTTTGGAAAAAAAAAGTTAGGCGTTACCGAGAGCAGAAGAGTAAATTTCAATTGACCGCAACAAATTCAAAACCGATTGATCTAAGTGAAATTTTAGGAAACCCAAACAGATCCTTTTTCACATTCCAATCTTCGAGCATGATTTCATGAGCCTTTTGTGTTCTGTTATTCTTCCAATCGGCAATTTGCTACTCACTACTATTATTGCACAACTACCTAGACTTTAAGTTAAATTTTTATTTCCTAACCCTACTTCATCGCAATCAAGATGGTTTGAGCATACTTCCATTCATGCCAAGAGGGTAAGTATTTTATTTTATTTTTCTGTTTCATAGGAGAACTGTAGAGCAAACAATTTTTACACTTACTGGCCAACCTGACTTATTTTATTGGTGCTTTGATTTCTATTAAAAAATAAACAATGACGTTACTGTAATGGCTCATGACTGGTTGATGAAAGAGACGGTAGATTTTTCAGTTGATTTAAACAATTTAGAGAAACCTACAGTTATTTTATAAAATGTATATTTTTCGTTATAAGTGTGGAAAAAAACAAGGTAAAGTAAATGAGTGAAGCATTCATGATTGATAAAGGAGTCATTTAGTTGTGAAAAGATTTTATGAATTGCTGGGGTTAGTGAGAAAATTATGAAAATAATGTGCGTCTCCTAAAATGATGTAAAAGATGGAACTTCAAGAACGGGGGACGTTGATGCAGTACTTTATGAAAGAAACAATTCCTTGTTTCTATTTCTTAAGCCATGCAGATAATTAAATTGACTGGAAATTTATCATAATCAATTACAATAGAATTCCGATGAGTGAACCCAAAAGCATATAGTTTTGATTTGTTAATTGTTCATTGTATGATATACACCTCTGAGAAATCGTGGTGTAAATGGAGAGCAGCAGATGTGATGTGATCATGTAAGCAAAATTTATTCTTGAATATGTAATCAGAAGTGATCATGAATCAAACGAACAGAAACAAGTAGATGAAACCTACATTTGCTAGTAAGTCAAATGTAAAGTATTTGTGACCCCTCAATTTCATCAAAGCTTGCAAGGTTAATGTTCAAGAACTCTCACTAAAGAGGTAGGAAAGTTGTCAAAACAACTGGAATTAAAACTTTAGGCGATTTATTTTTGTCACGCCCTTTCAATGTTTCTGATATTTAAGTTGAATTATCAAAGTGTAAAATTGATTTTCCCATGGATACCACCACTTGCATAAGCCCTCATTTCCTATTTCTTCCGTACCGTCATGCTGTATTGTATCAAAGATTAGAAATGTTACAGAGGTATAGCCGTTACTATATCATCAAAATGTTCAAAACCCTGAGCTGACAAAAAATGGCAATGCTCAGAATGCTAGGCTGTTGAAATAATGGAACGAGGTAAGAAAAGCACTCAAAAAGCACAATTTTTAGTTCCTAATGTTTTAACTAATGTTCCGGTTTGGACTGCTGTTGTTTCAAGAGGGAAAACTATTGGGGGGGGGGTGCGACCTTTCCTCCCCCAACAGAAGGCAACTGAGTGGCATTTGCTATTGGCATTTTCAAATCGCAACACTGTCTTGTGGTGCATTGCACAGAACATCATAAAGAAATAATATTTTAAGTACAAGCAGCAATTAAAATAAATCACCATTTCAAAACAGCCACATCTTAGAACAGTTCACGAATTGAGATCTATCATTTGCATCAGAAGCTCTCTTTCTGGCTCGTTACAATAATTTATCAAAAAAAATATACAATCGAAAAAGAGTTGCCCTCCAGAAGAATATCCCTGGAAAAAAAGAACGACAGTCTAGACTGGAACATATAATATAGGAACAAAAAGAGATGCAAATGAGTTGAACACTTCTTTGATGCATCCTAGTATAATAAACATTCTTTACTTTAATTTTTTTTTTTTTTTTGAAAGGTGGGCAGATTTTTAAAAATTTTATTCCTTTAAATTAAATATCTTTCTTTCCCTTTAATATCCATAGACTAGGACACAATTCCGATCATTTTTGGATCCGATCTTCATATCTTTTGCTCATAAGTCTGATGTTGATACTGTTCTTGAAGAGGAAGAGTAAGTTCTTGTTTTTATCAATTCTCTAAGTTTTAGTATACTTACTGAGCAAAAGCCTTTACAACTAAACGCAAGGATTCTCAAGAATATTCTTTCATATTTTTGTCTGATTAGCTATACATGTACCATTTCAAATCTTTGCTGAGTACGTGAATCTGTTTACCCAGCCAGCCTTTGTGCGCCCACATAATAATTTGCTACTACCTTTTGGGAATTTCCACTCTTAAAAAGAAACATATCACTGTGTCATCATAATTTTCAATTGACACACGTTGGTATGAATCTCTTACCCCTTCCAGAATTGAAATTTCTTAAAATGTATGGTTGTATGAACTTGTCTTACCATCTGAAAACAGTAAAATTTAATCACTATACATGTAGTAAATGACACAAAATTAAAAAATTCAACAGACAGATCAAGGTTTCAAAAATTGAAGGAGACAATATTTTTAATTATCGCCCTAGTATTCCAATGACAAAAATGAATTTAAAAATAATTTGTACCTTTTTAAATACTCTTCCATTGGGTTGGATTTCATCTTCCTCGGCAAGAATAACGCGTGTTCCAAGACAAGGCCTATCTGCGTATCTGTTTCCTACATAACTGAAAACCTTTTCCATTGTATCCAAATTATTCCGTACTAGGGTGAGATGACTTCTTTGGGGAACCTGCTTACTTCGGATGGACAAAGTTTTTCTATCTAGGAATGTGGGATCCGCCTGGAACAAGACAGAAAGAAAAAAATAAATTAGATACCTTCGGATGATGAGAAAAGGCTAATTTGACTATTCGTTTAAAACTCATAGAAAACGAGTGATAAAGCCACGGGCACGGGTATTTGCAAGAAACCGCTCTTGAATACAAACAAATCAAAAAAGTTGTGATGAGTGTCTGGCTTAGGTATGCTAAGTTGTTAAGTAGTTTGCTCTTCGAGCTTCAGCAGCCCTTAAAGTCACGAGACCTGCGATAGAAAATATAAAAAAAACATTCCCAGCATGGCAAGGGAAAAAGGAAAAAGAAAAAAAATACAACTGACAATGAGTCGAAAATTTTGGACTCCCCACCAATCTCTCTGCAACAGGTAGAAACCTCTTCTTTCAGGGCTCGACCAATCCATCCTTGAAATTACCTCGTCTTATTAACTGTTGAACAACATGTTGCGTATTATGTCGATGCCCTGAGTCGAAAAATGCGTTTCCAAATTTTTTTTCACAAAACACGAATGTTTGGGATATTTTGTTTTGTATATATTTTTCTTCCGATTTTTCAGAGAATTTTGTTCGTAATTAAAGATTTGAAGTGACTGAAAATTTCCATGAAAAATATTCATGATTTGCCTTAAATATAAATACTTCCTGGAAGGAAATTTGGCAACATCCGAATGCACATACGGCGTTCTACCTTAAGGTTCAGTTACACGATCAAATTGAGCCATCAAACTGAAGCTCTGATTGGTGGAAAAAGACCTGAGGTGAGGATGCGACCAATGAGAGGCCCAATTTGATGGCTCAATTTGATCGTGTAACTGGACCTTTAACATGACAGTAAACAGGGTGGCCCTGGATTAAGCACGAATATTGAAGGAGTCGATTCTTCGAGAAAAGACGTTTTTGTGATAAAAATGTTTTTTCTCCAAAAACGCTTTCCCAGGGTGCCACGGCCCCCCAAAATTAGAAAAAAAAATCGTCTTTTTTTGACAATGATTATCAACCAATATTAATAAAAATTGGTAACTGGGGGGGGGGGTTACCGCTCTTTTTATTTTTGATCTACAAAAAAGGGAAAATTCATGTTGAGGAGGGTCAAGGGAGGTATCGAACCTAAAAGTGGCCAAAATTAATGTTTCCAGCGACAAAAATTGATTTTTGATGGGACCACTAGATTCAGCGTTGAAAAATATTGAGAAAACTCCAAAACGTGCCCAGCGTTTTTTCGCTAAGACTCGTCGTTTCCGAGATAATAGGGACTAATAAGGGATAATCGGGTATACAGCCGTGCTGAGGAAGAACGCCGTATGAACATTCGAGAGTTGCCAAATTTCCTTCGATAAAATGTTAATTTTTGAGGAAAATTATGACTATTTTTCCTTGAAATTTGCGGGCATTTTAGATCAAACAACCAAAATTATCTGAGAAATCGTTAGACAAACATTCAAAAGTTTTCCTAAAAATTAGTGATTTGCCGGTGGAAATTTGGCGACGCCTGAACACTCATACGGCGTTTTTCATTGGCACGGCAGTATAGTAGGAGGGTACTGGGGCCCTCAGGGAAAGCGCTTCTGGAAAAAAAAAAAGTTACACCACGAAAACGTCTTTTATGGACCCAAAGAATCGACTCCTTCAATATTCGTACATGATCCTGGGACACCCTGTATAGTTGCTCGAAGCGGTGGGCCATCCATCGATGAGGAAAGTTGACGAAATGCAGAGGCTACGATGCGAGCTTGCGTTCCGGTCGGCGGAGAAAGCAAGCGCAAGTTCGCGGATCCGACTGAACTTGGCCGGCCGGCTCGGCCCTCGATTTCAGAGAGGCTCGTCTGACCCGACGCGGGCAGCCCCGCGACTCGCGAGCCAAAAACGCGCCGAGGCTTGTTTGCTTTCTCTCGCGGACTCGCAACAGGACTACCGTGTTTTAGCACCTTCCCGATAAAAGATCCTTCAGTGCCTCATTCTCGAAAGGACTCCGCGAACGCGCCGGCAAAAAATTCGGATCCCCAACGCGGTATTAAAGAGCTCCTTTCTGGCAAGATCAGAGACAAGAGACCCTCCAATGGTATCTTGGCGATGGTAGAAGCTTCAACTTTCGGGCCTTCAACATTCACTAGGTGGGCGGTTGATAACGTGCTGGGAGTCTCGTTTTGCAGACAAACCAAAGTTTGGGAAACTTCTTTGGCTCATGACATCACCAGAAGCTCACCATCCACGTAGTAGGAAGGTCAACAGCCGACAGAAGGGTGATGACTGTTGCCCCCTTAAAATCGCCCAAAAGGAAATGTTGAATCCCCGAAGGTGGAAGCTTCCACCTGTCGCCAAGAGGCCAGTGGAGGTTGGAGGGTCTCCTGTCTCTGGGCAAGACTGGTCCAGGTAATATCAGTTCTAAGACTGAGCATTGACGGCGGAAAGTTTAATTGTAATGCATTTCTTGAGGGCACGTTTCGGGACGAGCCAATCATTCTGATCCATACAGGCAGGGAAGTGGATCTCAAAAAATATGAGTTGTAATAGTCCGATGTGGAATGGTTTTCCTCTCTGAAGTCCCTCAATAAGGTGCACCAGGGTTAGAACTGGAAAAAAGTCTCTTGAGTCTTGAGTCCGACAAGAAAAAATACCCTTGATTCAATCGGACTTTCCCTTGCATCGGGATCCATGCCTCTTAATTTAAGCGAATTTCCTTTTGATTCGAGCAAAAATCCGATTGAATCGAGAGTTTTTTTTCTTGTCAAAATTTTTAAAAGTCTAGATTTTGGATCCAAGAGACTTCTTTCCAGTGGGTGGCGACTATTTAAAGTTGGCATCACTGTTTTTCCTCTATTTAAATGGATTTAAAACCATCGATTTTTGGACAACCAGCTTGCCTCGCCTAAAATCGATATTTTCAGTGGATTTATATGAAGAAAACAGTGTTGCCAATATGCAAAATCGCCACTGCCCAGGATTGAACTGCCAGACTGCAGAAGCATGTTCTACAGATCAAAATAGGATTTTTTCTCTTTGCAAAGTTTTTTCACTTTTTTTTTTACACGTCCAAAAGAGCCCCCAATCGTAAACTGAAGTGCTATTTTCAGTGCATCATTGCATCGGTGCGTTAAAAGTAACCCAAAAATCGTACTCATTCAATTTTTAATCTACAAGCTCAATTTTTTTTAATATTCCCTTTTCGAATGATCAAGAAACCAAGTTTTTTCAATTGATCGGGGAAAACAACCAGTACAAATTTTCAAGGGTAGTGCTCTTTGGTTTTCCTTTGAAAGATAAAATGCGACACGAAATACGCAGTGTCGCAAATAGAGATACCTGTTTCGCGACTTTCACCATCGAAATATCCCGGGGTCCATATGCGCTACTTCCTCTGACTGTGGGTCACTGGTAGTTATTTTAACTCACGCGGAGATCTGATCAAAAAATGGCCTCGTTGGTAAATCAGAGGCTTCATTCATCGCGAATGGCTTCCATACACGCGACGGTCGTCCGCGTAAAAAATAAATAAAAATGGATTACACTGTATAATAACTAGATTTAACCACGAAAATTCGAGTATTTACTGAAGCATTCATTAGAGGTTGGCTTAGCATCCCAGAAAATTGCTCCGGCTAACAACGTCGATGATGTCTCTCTAAACGAATCCTTAACCAAGCCTATTTCCAGATGAGGAATCGAAGTTTTCTCCCATTTCCCGGATATGCTTGAGAAAAACTATCAAACTCTCCGGAGTCCCAAATGTGAAAATGGATTTATTTCTCTCGTGTTTCAGCCGATTCTTTGTCGCACATACAAAATTTCAATTCGTAAAGCGTCCCTAATGTTTATATAATCTGGTCAATGAAAGATTCTCTATTATTCTGATGATTTGAAGATTCTAATAATTATGTCATTCGAGAGATCAATACTGGCGGGTCAGGTGCAAAAACATAAACTCTGAGCGGTAGGGGAGCAAACCAGAGTTGCCACAGAATTTAGCAATTCCCTGACATTACCGGTAACATTTCGGTAAAAATCCCTGACAAATATACCACATGCATGGTAAAAAGGACATAATTTGAAATAATTTTCACGCAAAATCTGTTGTTCGAAACGTCGGCCTCGTTCTAGAGAGCAAATGAAGGTGACATGAAAATTTTTTCTGACACATTCATCATTCTCCCTGACATTTCCAGGTTTTCCCTGACTTTTTTAAATTCTCGGACATTTCCCGGTTTCCCGGCATTCCCTGACCGCGGCAACCCTAGAACGACCCAAATCCCACCAGAATCCCGCACATCCGATCGGCCACTTAAAAAAACCGAAGGACGGGCCGATTCCCGTCATTTTCCCTCACATTTCCAGGTTTCCCCTGATATTTCCCGGTGTTCCCTGACTGTGGCACCCTGAAATTCCCTGTTTCTAGAACAGGTTCCCACATTCTCCCTAAAATGTTTAATTCCCTGACGAATCCCGGTTATTCCTGGTCTTGGACACCGTGTTCTAAAAGTACTATAACGAAAACGTTCCCGATCAGGAGGTCTACCAGAACACACTGGCCAAAAATCAGTACTTTTACAGTACTTATTCAGTACATTCACAAGAAATTCAGTGCCTCCTCGATAGGAAAATTCAGTACTTTTTCAGGACCTCCATTCGACCAAATTCGAAAAATTTTAGATTTGAATTTCTCGCTCAAATTTCAACAAAAATTCCGGGCCTTCTTGCGGAATTTCCGAACTTTTTCCGTACTTCCGGACCGCCCTTAGAAAATCAGTACTATTTCCGGATTTGTAGACACCCTGCCGATACAGCACACGCATCGTGCCGAAATTGAGCCAACAGAGGGGGATACTTTTACAGTACTTATTTAGTACATTCTCAAGAAATTCAGTACCTCCTCGACAGAAAAATTCAGTACTTTTTTAGGACCTCCATTCGACCAAATTCGAAAAATTTCAGAATTGAATTTCTCGCTCGAATTGCAACAAAAATGACAAAAATTCCGGACCTCCTTGCGGAATTTCCGAACTTTTTCCGTA